GGGGTCCTCGATTGGCCGCGCCAGGACGCGAATTCGAACGCAGACTGTTGATTGGCGGAGCCTGCGCGGCCGCCCCGCCTCTCCGGCCGGGGCTGGGGTCCCGAAAGTGCGCGGTTCAGGGCCAGCCTTCAGGGGCGTCTCTGGATACGCTGTGGCCTTGGTGGGCCCGGCCTGTTCTGGTCTTGGGCCTTGCTGCTGACTGTGCTGCAGAGGTCCTGGGGATCCGAGCCCACTGCGCGCAGTGGGTGTCAGTGAAGGTCTAAGCGGACCGGCTGCGCCTTGGGCCTCGGATCTCTCGGAAGGATGCGGCGCGGCGGGGCGCAGCCAGGACCCAGACGTGATCTTCTGCTTGGAGGAAGGCGAGCCGAGCCTGCACCTGAGAGCACCGTCACGCCCAGGCTGCCCCTGACCTTTCCAGCTGCACGCCCTGCTTCCCGCCCTTGCTTCAGGCGAGAAGACTCCTAGTTCGGTGGCGAACAGTGGAGCTACTATTGGCATAGATCGGAAGGCTGAAAGTGGAGTTCGGAGACCTGAGACTTCATGGACTCAGCCAGCACGTTTAACTCCTTCTTCCTTTGAAATGTGGCTCACCCTGGATCCCTCCTCCATCCCTGCCCCAGGGCAAGACCTCACCCTCTCACTGGCACTAGATATCCTCCCCTGTTTGTCCCCTATATCTCCTGTCACCTGGGAGTCCTTCCCAAAACAGAAGTGCAAACCCGCGTACTTTACTGGATGCTGCAGCCACAGCTGAGCATTCCGTTCACTCAAGTATTAGGCAGTGCCCACGCAATCTATCTTTCAGGAACCAGCTCACATCCCACCTCTTTCATGAGACATTCTGACAAGAAAAACTATGCAATTTCCTGGGATAAGTGTTGATGGAGGAAGGTAGAGTGACTTTTCCTGGAGAAGTCAGGGTATCTGGGTCAAGGCACTCCTCCTCCTCCCCCACAGCCTCAGTTAGTCCCTGTGCCTCCACCCTTTAAGCTCACTGAACCCCTTCAGGGTACTTGGTCTGTGCTCAGCAGCCAGGTACACATGGAGAAGTCATGGTGCCAAGGCTCCATGCAAGACTGGAACAGGAAACAGAGAAACAAATGGATGATCACAATCACAACGTGCCATATGAGGCCCTAGAAGCTGGCGGTGGAGGAGGGGCAGGGTGATGTGCACAGGAAGAGTAGTGGATAGAGCAGAGGGAGCTTCGAGCGTGTTCCGCGGAGGCCCCATGTTCGACACCAGAGGACAGAAGGAATCCACCCAACCTTCTAAGGTTTTTCATCATCTTCACCCCACCTTTGTTTCCATTGGTTACTGTTTCTTGATTGGGTACTTTGTTGTCCTCCCCACCCTCCGCACCATTTCCTTGTTACTGGTCTCCCCACACCAGGCAGAGGTGCACTCTTTCAGTGTTAGGATTTGGTGGCACTGTGAGGGGACTAAATCACCACTCTCACTCCCCTGTGATATTGCATCTTTGTGGAGTCCAAAACAGCACCTGTCATCACTCCAAGTCCCTCGGTTGTCTTCCATCTTGCTCCTATGTTCTTATCGCGCGCTTTTATTTCTTCAGAGGTAGTTTTCTTATTTTTCAGAAATAGGCGTTCTTCTCCTGGCTATGCTACAGCCCTACCTTCCCTGACCCCCCATCCACCGCCCTGGCAGGAAGAGCCCCTAGGACCCAGAGGGTGTGAGAAGAGCCTGTTTCCCACTGGGCTTTAGGAGGGTGAGAGAACTCACTGGAAAAGTTTAGATTGTTGCAAGCTCAGAAAGGTTCCTGGCTGGAATAAGATAGCAGCTGAAGGCCTAGGGGTGAATGAGAAAGAAACTTAAGGGTGGCAGGGTGCAGAGGAGGGAGTGAGGAAAAGTGAAGCAGGCTGGGAGACTGAGGGATCCCTGCACTTGGGGGAGAAAGGAAGAGGAGCCTTCAGAGGAGGCAGACAAGGAGCTTGGGAGGAATGGGGACTAGGGGCAGTGGCAAGAAGGGGGCAGGGGACACTGTGAAATGCCTCAGAGCAGTCACAGGGAAAAGGAATGGAGTGGGTGTGGCAGCCAGGGATGTGACAGTGCTATCATTCCGGTGAGTCATGAGAGAAGGTAGGGAGTCAGGGCAAGGATGGTAGACACCATCGTCCCAGAGCATGGCTGAGCAGGGAGGGAGGGAACCACCTGCAAAGGGGGAGCCAAAGGGGCTTTTCAGAGGGGCCAGTGTGCCCACGCTGGAGAGGGAAAGGCTATTTGACAGGGCACATCTCAGAGGAGAGCCCTCTTCACCAAGGCGCATAGCCACGTCCATCCGCACTCAAGCTGGATGGTTGAGCTCACGGCCTTAGCTCAGTGCTTCTCACAATGGAGCTGCATCAGAAGCACATGTTAACATAGGGTTTCACTGCAACACAGATTGCTGGGCCTCTGGCCCCCAAATTTCTGATTCAACAGGTCTGGGGTAGGGCCCAAGAATCTGCATTTCTAACAAGTTTTAAGATGACGTGGATGCTTCTGGTCAAGAATTCCACTTTGAGAACTTCTGCCTGAGTTGAATCCTGGTTCTACCATCTGTTGACCATGGAAAGTTGCTGAATATCTCTAACTCTCAGCTTACTTTTCTGGGAAATGGGGATGATAATCATGTCCACATCATGGGTTGATGCAGGGTCACATAACAGGCTCACCTCTAACATTTACATGGGCCAGAGCAGAGAACAAATGGAGCCCCACAAATCCAAATACTTAAATACTGAAAAATTGTGACTTAGGTTAGCAAACTTGTCAGTCTCTTCTCTCCTCCGACCTTCAGAAGTATAGCATCACTACAATCATGGTCACCCCAAACCCACTGCCTTCATGCTCCTGACAGGACATGGCAGGTATTCCTCTGAGGCTGCTTCCACAGCCAGGTCTCAATGAGGCCACAGGTCACTCAGGTGAGACTCAAGGAGATCGTTTTCCACGGAAATGTACTTGGGTTCTCCACCAGGCCTCTAAGGTGAGTGGCCTCAATCTGGCAGAGAGCCACACCCACCCCTCCACCCCCAGGCTCACTGGGTCTGTGAGTACCTCTGTACCCCTTGCAGCCCATGGCAAGCTGTGTGCACCTGGGCTAACTTGGCGCTGGGAACTCTTTATTACAGCAAGCCAGGCTTTGAAGGAAGTGGTGAGGGAGGCTGGGAGGGAGGTCAGGAGGCAGGCAGAGAGTATGATGGAGAGGGAGGCTGGGAGGGAGGCCAGGTAGATCAGGTGGAAGGCCTGGAGGGAGGTGGAGTAGGAGGCCAGGAAGGAGCCTGGGAGGA